CACATAAATTCAGACATTCCCAAAAGTCCCCAAAATAGCTGTTTTCTCTGTATTTATAACCAAATCAAGAACACTGCATTGTATTTACTTGTCATTTAGCTTAAATGGTTTTTCATGATTAGAGAAAAATAAATGCCTAATTATGCATGATACTTTCCTAAACATTCCGATAAAGAGATCCATCTAGATTTAGACTTTTCAGAAACAGGAATCCCTGGCTTAAATGATTATAGGATGTGTCCTGTTATTTTTAAAGATGTTATGAAGTGTTTTCAAACATTAATTTAACAAATGAAACAGTTATTGATTAGGATGGAGAATAGTAACACAAAACTTTTGTTTTAAGAATTGTACCACTGAATTTTACACTGTGGTACTGATTTCTTTTTCACACATAAAATGCAATATCAAAAACATTATATCAGTATATACATGAATCATAATGTTCACTCATGTCATGATTAAGAAATAAACTTGAATACTAAATTAGTAATCAGTAATTTCACTGAGTTTTAGTTTTAAGTATACTTTTAAAAAATGATTAGCTTACATGCCTTCCTGAGAACTGTTATTTTCTTCAAAGCACATTTATGGAGAAGGAAAAGAAAACTGATATAATTCATATGTACTTAAAAAGCATAATTACTTTATATGTTGCCAGTAGGGATAAAAATAATTATAATGATAGCTACATTTATTGAGGTCTTTGGGCTGGGTTCAGTGCTAGTTGCTTTATATAATTTATCGCAATCTGTACAGCAACTCTCTTGAGAAGGTAAAGTCTTTATCCCAATTTTACAAATGAGGAATCTGGGCCTTAGAGAGGCCCAGCCACTTGCCCAAGGGCACAGAGCTAGTAAGTCTAGAGCCAGAATTAATGTCTACAATGAAATGGATTGCTTTAGCTGTTAAAATGCTGTTTAGCTATTACAATGTTGAAATGATTTTAACTAATTGTAGGGATTTCTATTAAACTCTGCATATGTTAAAGATGGTATGAAGAGTGTGAAGTAATTGAAAGTACAAAGGATTTAGTTTTTTAAATTTAACTTTTTGGTGTTAAGTACTTAGAGTACTCACACTAGGCTACTGAACATGCTGGAAACCTCTTTAACTGCAAGTCAGTTTTATCTATCACTTACCTTTCAAATGTTTGTTTATGAATGAATGTTTCCCACAGCCCTGAAAACTTGATTTTCCTGGAGGGATTTGTCTCCCCAGATTTTTGTTTATACTTTAGTTGTGACTGTTTGGTTCAAGAAATAGATTCTTTATGATATGATCACAGGGGTCTGATTTCTTGGTGTTTGACTCCTCAAACCCACCCGGAGGCTCCCCATTGCTGTTCACTCTAGAAAGGCCTTATAGACAAGGCTGTAGCTTAGATGCCAGTAGTTTGAGGGCAGACATCATGAATGTCTGTGTTCTGGGAGACTGAGGAGTTAACACAGATGTTTGTAAAAGTTTAGCAGGATTTAATGGCAACTGACATCATGAAAGTTTTCTCTACACCCTTAGGTACAAATATTACAGATCTTTTAGGGATGCGAGGCCAAAAATTGTGTTTCTTACAAATTCTTATGAGAAGAGCAAAAGATAACTTTGTTTGTGGTTCAGACCTTGGAAAAATCTTTGGGGATAATAATGCATATTGTCTCACGGTGTTTTGTCTAAGTCAACAGATACGTTCCGTGCTTAAGTCTCTGGAGTTCTGTTTTTTTCCTTTTTAGTCCTCTTCTTAAGGTTGTATTTTCGTGTCACTTGATCAGTGTAGGGGGAGCATTTAAACTGTGCTTTGGAACAATCCCTTGACCTGGATTTTTTTCCCCCTTATTTTCCAGTGATCCTGAGCAATTGAAGAAGGAACTGAATGAACTGGTCAGTGCTATTGAAGAACATTTTTTCCAGCCACAGAAGTTCAATCTGCAGCCAAAAGCAGACTAAAATAGTCCAGTCTTGGGTATACTTGCATTTGCCTACAATTAAGCTGAGTTTAACTTGTTAAGCAATATTTTTAAGGGCCAAATGATTCAAAATGTTACAGGTATTTATGTGTTTTACAAAGACCTACATTCCTCATTGTTTCATGTTTGACCTTCAAGGTGAAAAAAGAAAAGATGGCCAAACCCAACAAACTAACATTCCTACTAAAAAGTTGAGTTTGGACATATTTTGAATTTTTATAAATGAAGATTCTTTAACTAACTTAAAAAAATAGATTGTAATTGATGTGCCTTAATTTGCATAAATCATAAATGTATGTCCTCTCTGTAATTGTTTTAATGTGTGCTTGAAATATCCAGAAAACCTATGGAGTTAGTAAATTCTAGGCTGTCATATGTAGGATAGCCACTTTTTAGGCATATGTACATTTATATTTCTATCAATTCCTTATAAAGTAAAATAAATGAATAGATCAAATGTTGTGTTCATGTTTGGGGAAAATATAATTTGCAGAAACCTATGAAGTGGAGCAAAAGATGCTTTAAAAAGGTATGTTTTTTTGACCTAAATTTTTTTTAGTTCGAATAATGCACATAGCACATTAGTACATCGTACATGTGCTAGGAAAAAACAGCTTCACTGTCTTTGTGTAATGTGTTGAAACTCATTTTATCTTTTTAAATCTTGAAAAACCAAACAGTTGTTTACTTGAAACTTGAAAGTAGCTTATTTTTCTGGTTTTTTTGTTTGTTTGTTGTTTTTTTTTTTTTTTTTGCATTAGCACAATTTAATGTAATTCCTGGTTTGGAGGCAGCAAGACCTATAAGCAAGAACTGTTTACTTGACGCTGATTTTTTTCTCTTGTTCTTGTGTGGTCTAAAATCTAAAACTAGATTTATATGATAGATTTCCTATAAGCCAATTTCTAATAATAAATAGATTTATTATTTAATCTGTACCTTCTATCTTCTCATAATTCGTGGTTTTACAGCCCTCCAAAATGACTCCAGTTGGGCACCCATGAGCTAGGACCAAACTTCCTTATATACTTTATATACTTTACATTATTTCTGATTTTTAAAGCAAATGATTGCCATTATTATGATTACAGTCAACCTAAATGGTTATGAACAGTTTCAGAACAATGAAAAATGACAATACTATGTGATAGTATTATAACTGTTTTTCTATTTTAGTCATATGTAGCTTATGTCCTACCAGAACTCTTAAATCTATAGTATTCAATATATTCTACAAACTGCTTCATTGTAGAAGCCATATTTATGTTTATTTTATAATGTTTTCTAGTGCCAAACTGTACTGTGGAAAAAGAAATGTTAGATCTGTGTTCTGTCTGCATTTTTTTTTTTTTTTTTTTTTTTTGAGTACATACCCTTCACCCTCTCATGGAGTTTGTTTCTGGAAATACAAAGTTGATTATGACCCAATCCTGCTCTGATGGAAGTCAGTCTAATTGGAGGGCTAATAAGTAACAGCAGTACTTACAAATTCTATTATAGTGTTTTTTACAAGTATTCAGCAACACAATCTGAGGGAGGGATTCATGCTGCCCAAAGAAAACCTCATAGATGAGGTGCTGAATGAGATGCTTCACCCTTAGGGATGAGGAGCAGCTGAAGATGGGAGAGAAAGCCTTCCGAGCACAGAGCACAGCACGGACAAAAATGTGGAGGTGCTGGCAAGTGGGGGTGGGGGAAGCAAGGGGAGATGATGAAAACAGAAGCCAAGATGGAAACTTTAGAATGCATCACACTCCTCTGCCACTCACATGAGCAGATGATTTCACTGGACCTAGAGGGGATGTACCCGAACTCTATTTGTCACCTGTATTTCTAAGAAATAGCTCACCATGGCTGTTCATTAGGTATTTCTCAACTTCTTCCTGTTATGGGATGTAGGGTAGCCCACCTGGCACATAAAGCTGGCAACAATAAGTCCACTGGGTTTTAATCTTGGCCTATTTTGAACCAGCTCTGTGACCTTGGTCACCTCTCAGAGTCTCAATTTTCATCATTTTTAAAAAAGACTTTTTAGAGGGTGGTTTTAATTTCAAAGCAAAATTGAGAGGAGGGTACAGAGAAATTCCATAAGATCTCCTACCCCCACACATATGTTGCTTCCCTCTATGTCAACAACCTTCACCAGAGTGATACATTTGGTATAATTGATTAACCCACACACATCATTATCACTCAAACTATGGAGACAAGAAAAAGATCAGGGATTGGGAGGGAGGGATGAACAGGCCAAGCACAGAGGATTTTTAGGGCAATAAAAATACTCTGATACCATAGTGATGGATACATGTCATTATACATTTTTCCAAACCCATGGAATGTACAACACAAAGAATGAACCCTAAAGTAAACTGTTGACTTTGGGTGATAATTTTGTCATTTTTAAAATGAAGATATTGGCCGGGTATGGTGGCTGACACCTGTAATCCCAGCCTTTTGGGAGGCTGAGATGGGAGGATCCCTTGAACCCAGGAGTTTAATAACCATCTGGGCAACACAGTGAGACCTCATCTCTACAAAAAGTCAAACAATTAGCTGAGTGTGGTGGTGCGTTCCTGTGGTCCCAGCTGCTTGGGAGGCTGAGGTGGGAGGATCACTTGAGCCTGGGAGGTCGAGGCTACAGTTAGCTGTGATGCGCCACTGTACTCCAGCCTGTGACAGAGCTGGAGGTGACAGAGCGAGACCCTATCTCAAAAAAATAAGATATTTTACTAAATGGTCTCTGAGGTCATTTCATCCTACAGGTCTCTACATTATATGAAAATCTATAAAGGGCAATTATAGTAACAATAAATCATTGGGAATTCTCTTTGGCAGAATTCTTAGGTCACCCTCTTTTCTTTTTTTTGGACGGAGTTTCGCTCTTGTAGCCCAGGCTGGAGTGCAATGGCACCATCTAGGCTCACTGCCACCTCCACCTCCAGGGTTCAAGTGATTCTCTTGCCTCAACCTACTAAGTAGCTTGAACTACAGGCATGCACCACCATGCCCAGCTAATTTTTTGGATTTTTAGTAGAGACAGGGTTTTACCACGTTGCCCATACTGGTCTCAAACTCTTGACCTCAGGTGATCCGCCCACCTCAGCCTCCCAAAGTGCTGGGATTGCAGGTGTGAACCACCGCGCCCGGCCAGGTCACCCTCTTTTAAGATCTAACATCTCAGACGGGAAAAATACTTTGTACGAAAGAAGGCAGGCTTATGTTCATATGTTGCTTTGCCTTGAAGCCTGAAGGGGATGAATGGGGACAAGCAAGACAGAAGCACATGGCATGCAGATGCTGGGAAAATGCTTTGCAGGGGCGTGAGGCGTGCTCACTGGCCTGTGATCAGGACTGAGAGCTGTCACAGCAGCCCACTGTGCCTTCTAATTGCTGAACTTATTTGGGGAAGCCTGTTGATTTGAGTGTAGAACGGGCAGTCCATTTTTTCTTGATGCCTTGGAAAGAACAGGCCCCAAGTTAAATGTAGGAGACAGACTTGCAGGAGGAAATAACTATTTTTACTTTTCCTCTTTGTGGTCTCTGAAATAGCAGCTGTTCCTCTTTCCATTGAGGAACATTGGGAGTATTTCTCATTTATATATCTCATTGATTTCCCTCAATCATGATGCTAGTAAGAGAAAGTATTGCTATTTCAATGACATTAGAATCCCATGTGGTTTTAAAAACAAATGCTTTAAGTGATGAAATGAATATGTGTGTCCTATTTTGAAGGGATTTTTGAAAGGATGGCCTGCATCTCGGTAATATATATGATTTCTGCATCCTAAAAGACTATGTCTTCAAACCTATTTGTGCTTTCATTTAGGTGTTTACTGATTGGGTCATGTTGGACCCTGTGAGGAGACAGGCATTTTTCTGGATACTGGCAATAAACGTGCAGTCCTGATCTAAAATATAGCCTAGCAAGAGAAGTACATGTTTACGCAGATAATTCTAATATAGTATGCTGCATTGAAACAGTCAAGTATTTGAACTATGGGCAAGCAGTTCTGTCATGTCCCCTTCTGTGCTTGTCTATTTTAAGACTACTAAGTTCAGATTCCTAACCTTTGTGTTTAAAAACCACATGGCTCTGGGAGGCTGTTTGCATGTCATTCCCCTGGGTTATCCCTTTGTTCCATTCTTGCTACAAGCATATTTGTGTAGAGTAACTCAACCGTTGAAAGCAAGATGTGCACTCTTAGGCAGATAACAATCAACGTTTAAAATAACATCACTTCTTCTATAGATTTCTCCAGGCACACAAAGCATGGTGACTACTCAGATTAATTGGAGGAGAAAGAATACTGGAGAGACGAGGCCCTCCAACACCATCGTGCTCATGCTCAAGGTCATCAGGATGGAGAACAGTAATGGAGAATCTGGTGTTTTCCCACCTGGCTCCCTTGTGTAGATTCTTGTTGAGAAGCAGAGCTGTCGGCCACCTCCTGCTTGAGTCCAGTGAAGGCCACTTTAGTGTTTGGCCCAAACCCGGTGTGGAATGAAGTTGGGCACACAGACCAAAGAGCCAGCTCCAGGTCTAAATAGCTTTTGAAACCATTTCAAAATAGCATTCCGCAACTTCCAAAGGGAAGTTAGGGTTGCAAGTTACAGAGATGACAGAGCCTGATTATGTCCTTAAAATGCGTTGTTCCGAACTATTTCACCTTAACTGGAAAAAGACAGTTTTGGTTTTTTTTTTTTGGAGACAAAGTCTTGCTCTGTCGCCCAGGCTGGAGTGCAGTGGTGTGATCTTGGCTCACTGCAAGCTCCGCCTACCGGGTTTACGCCATTCTCCTGCCTCAGCCTCCCAAGTAGCTGGGACTACAGGCACCCGCCACCACGCCTGGCTCATTTTTTGTATTTTTAATAGAGATGAGGTTTCACCGTGTTAGCCAGGATGGTCTGGATCTCCTGACCTCGTGATCCACCCACCTCGGCCTCCCAAAGCGCTGGGATTACAGGTGTGAGCCACCGAGATTTTTTAAATCTCTAGGTGGCAAGAGTGAAATGGAGCTCCGTTTCTGAGAGGTGTTTCTTGGTTTACTAAAACAAGAGTAAACTGGAGATGGGAGCTTGGGCTAATTACCTCCTTTATGAGCTCAACAGGCTTTCTTTTTTTTCCTTTCCTAGTTGGTTCATTCCCTATGGTGTAAGGGTTTCTCTGCCCCCTGAACACTTCTTTACGTTTGTGGCTTTCATTATCCTAAGTGCAGGACTACAAACGTCTCTGCCAAGCCCCATCCTTGTATCACCATTTCCCTACTTGGACTTTCCCACTCCGAAGTCCTTAAATTGCTTTAAATGTAGTCTGGCCTCAAGTTAGGTTTTCCCACCAAGTTCCCCACCTCCCTACCCTGCAGTCTACTCTGTACGTTGACACTTCAAAACACTTGCCCAGGACCTTTGGCGACTTTTTACTTGTCTTTTTCTGATCTTGAGAATTTCTTCTTACTTATCCATCTTACAGAGAATGTCAAACTTACACAAACAATAGTACGGTGGACACCCAAGTAGCCATCACCCAGCTGTAGCAAAACTCAATTCATGACTAATCTAGTTTCACCTATATGTTCCTTGCTCCCCATCTTTCCACTGGGCAATTCTGGAGCATATCCCAGGCCTGTCATTGTATCTGTAAGTATTTCAGTATTTATATCAGTAAATATTTCAGTATATATAAAAGATGGGGACTTGTTTACACACACTGATAAAGGCAGGCAAATGCCTAGGCAGATAGGGGCAGGTTCCCAGTGAAACCCAACCTTCAAGCCGGAAACTGTCCCAGGTAAATCCTCAGACTGGATTGAGAACTTGCCTTCCCATTTGATGTGCTTTCCTCTTATTGATCCCTATCTTTCACCTATTTTACATATACCTAGTTTTTCTTAATTTGTTTTCTACACTGTTGTTCCCACCTTTGAGTAGAGTCTTCGCTTTGACCTTTTTTGCATACTCACAAACCAGTCAGCACACGCTCTCTATTCTGGGCCCATAAAAAAACCCCGGGCTCAGCTATATTGGGGGGAACTTTCCTGTCTTCAGATCGGAGAAGCACCCCCGACGTCCCCTCTTTGTCCTGAGAGCTTTCCTTTCTCTTAATATATTCTACTCCACTCACTCCTCAATGTCTGCATGCCTAATTCTTCCTGGTGAGACAAGAGCCCGGATGTAGCTGAGTGAAGAAGCAAAACTCCTGCATCAAGACAACCATACTACTGTTGTCACTCCTAAAAAAGTTGACAGTTCCTTAATATCAATTACTCAGTGTACAAGTTTCCCCATTTCTCTCATACGTTTTGTTTACACTTTGCTTGAATCAGGATTCAAATAACATTCACTCATTGCATTTGATGGATAGCCTCTGAAATCTTTCAATCTAAACATTCTTCATCTCTTTAATTTTTCTTGTAGTTTATTCCAAACTACCAAATCATTTGTCCTTCAGAGTTTCCTGCATTTTGGATATTGCTGGTTGTCTCCTCATGGTGTAACATGTTCCTATATGCCCTGGATTTCCTGTAAACTAGTACAACTAAATCAAGAAGCATGATCTGATTCAGGTTTGACTTTTTTTTTTTTTTTTTTTGGCAAAAATACTTGATGGGAGCGGAGGAGGGTGGCACTTCCACCATCCAGTTGTTTTCAAAGTACCAAGGATAGTTATTAGTGGCCAGTGTGCCTTCTCCTGCTTTGCTCTGCATAATGAGAATTATCAGAATTATCAATGGGAATCAGTTAAAAAGAAAACATGAATCGACGTGTCTTGTGTCACTCACACAGAATACTGTCAGACTGATGGAGGCAGGTCACCCTTAGAAGCAGGCAGAAAGGACTGGTGAGCTATTTCAAGCAGGCTTGGTAATTTACGTCAAGCTTGATGAACAAGTACTTAATGCCCTCAGATAGCTCCTTGGGGCTTCAATAGTTCAAAGAAAGTGATTTCTCACACCTTAGGCCCTTAGAGATTTGTTTTCGCTGATTATTTGTCTGTTCTAGAACAAAATACATTTCTGTGTCAAGTTATGAAGATCAGCACACAAAGGAAGAAATGTGAGCACATTGTGAGAATCCACGAAGAGATCTGATGAAGGCTTTGGTTGAGTGGATCAGCTGTGTGTTGGATGCAACCACAGGTCAGAGGAGACGGGGCAGTCTGCCTTCGGATGGCATGTACTTTGGTGTGCTGCCTGGAACTGGAACCATTACTTTTGTTGATAAGACACCAAGAGATTTAACTGAGGATGAGTTTGTGGTGCTTTTAAGGATGGACCCACTTGAGATCCATATCCTGTGACTAGTCCGAACAGAAAGTATGCATTTAGGATCTTGTGGATCTTCTGTGAAAGGACACTGCACTGTGTGATAGCCACAGAGTTTGCCCTGGAGTCTGCATTTCTGTGGCAAGCAATAGGCTGGAGCGAGTCCACTATGTAAGACAAAGAAAAAGATTCCAAAAGACATCTGTGATGTTACACAGTTTGGTCCGGGTTATTCTCTATCATCTATTTTCTATCATCAATTTCTTTTTTCTTTCTTTCTTTTTTTTTTTTTTTTTTAAGATGGGGTCTCGCTCTGTCACCAGGCTGGAGTGCAGTGGCGCGATCTCGGCTCACTGCAACCTCTGCCTCCCTGGTTCAAGCGATTCTCCTGCCTCAGCCTCCCGAGTAGCTGGGACTACAGGTGCGTGCCACCATGCCCAGCTAATTTTTATATTTTTGGTAGAGATGGGATTTCACCATGTTGGCCAGGATGGTCTCGATCTCTTGGCTGTGATCCACCCGTCTTGGCCTCCCAAAGTGTTGGGATTATAGGCCTGAGCCACCAGCACCCAGCCCTCTTTTGTTTTTTGGGTTTTTTTTAGATAGAGTCTCCCTCTTGTTGCCCAGGCTGGAGTGCAATGGCTCGATCTCAGCTCACTGCAACCTCCACCTCCCGGGTTCAAGCAATTCTCCTGGCTCAGCCTCCCGAGTAGCTGGGATTACAGGCATATGCCACCACGCCCGGCTAATTTTTGTATTTTTAGTAGAGACGGGATTTGGTCAGGCTGGTCAGGCTTCTACTTCTTTGAGAATTGCCAGTTAGCTGCACAAGCCAGAGCCTAGGTAATGAGTGAAAGCCTAAAATATTAGTGAAGTATACTTCAGATTGAATGAACTAACCCTGTAGACTAAAGAGACCCAGAACTTGTGGCCAAGGTATCCTTTTATTTGGGAGAATCTTGACTATCATGGTGATTTAAAAAAATATATTGAATGTACCATTTCCTGAATTTAGAAAACTTGAAAGGATGAAGAAGTTGAAGTATTACGCATTTGCTCACAAGTGGGAGCATACTGTACACACTGTTCTGCACACACTTTGCAGTCCCTTAGTTAAAAGATAGACATTTATTTCCAATCTTTTGCTAATTCATTGTTGCTATGAATAACATTGTATATATGTCGCTTTCCTCCCATTTTCCTAGAGAACAAATGCTATTTTAACAACTGAAATATCTTTTTGTTGTAGGATGGCATGAGATAATCCATGTGAGAACAATTTATAAATTGCTAAGTATTAATATCATTGGACAAATGAGCAAATTAGATTTCTAAACCATGTTTCATAATCTCCCCATTTAGTGTGTACAGCTCTGTTTTCGAAAACTGGTATCTTTTCGCTGCCTCGTTTACTGATATTGACAGTAATACGTAAAAGAAAAGAATAATCAATATCATTTCTAGTATTTGCAAACCATATATCTGATAAGGGGTTAACATCCAAAATATATTAGGAACTCATACAACTCAATAACGAAAAAGAGTCAGACTTTAAAACAGGCAAAATTCATGAATGGAGTTTTAAAATGTTTTATTGATATATAATATTTGTACATATTCATGGAGTAGATGTGATATTTTATAACATGCATACAATGTGTAATGATCAAGTCAGGGTATTTAGGGTATCCATCACCTACAGTATTGATCATTTCTATGTGTTGGGAACATTTCTTTCCTAGCTATTTTGAAATCTACAATACATTGTTTTTAACTATAGTCACCCTACTTTTCTATCAAACACTGGAACTTATTCTCTCTATATAACTATGTGTTTGTACAGTTAACCAACCTCTTCGTCCTCCACTGCCCCCACCCTTTCCAGCTTCTGGTATCTCTCATTCTACTCTCTACTTCTACGAGATCAACTGTTTGTTTTTTTTTGTTTTGTTTTGTTTTGTTTTGTTTGAGATGGAGTCTCACTCTGTCACCCAGGCTGGAGTGCAGTAGCATGATCTCGGCTCACTGCAAGCTCCACCTCCTGGGTTCACGCCATTCTCCTGGCTTAGCCTCCTGAGTAGCTGGGACTACAGGCACTCGCCACACGCCCAGCTAATTTTTTGTGTTTTTAGTAGAGACGGCATTTCACCACGTTATCCAGGATGGTCTCGATCTCCTGACCTCGGAGATCAACTTTTTAAGCTACCAAATATGAGTGAGATACATGCGATGTTTGTCTTTCTGTGCCTGGCTTGTTTCATTTAACATGACCTCCAGTTCCATTCACGTTGCTGCAAATAACATAATTTCGTTCTTTTTTGTGGTCAAATAATTGAATAGACATTTCTCCAGATACATACAAATGGCCACCAGCTATATAACAAGGTGCTCACTGTCACTAACTATCCGCAAAACTCAAAACCACAACGAGGTATTATCTCACACCTGTTAGGGTGGTTATTATTCAAAAAGACAAGAAGAGATAACAAGTGTCGGCAAGAGTGTGGAGAAAAGGGAACCCTTGTACACTGTTGGTGGGAATGTAAATTGGCACAGCTATTATCGAAAACAGTATGAAGGCTCCTCAAAAAATTAAAAATGGAATTACCATATGATCCAGGAATTCCACTTCTGGGTATATATTCGAAGAAAGTGAGATTACTATCTTAAAGAGATATCTGCACTCTATGTTCACTGTAGCATTATTCACAGCAACCAAGACAGGGAAGCCACCTAAGTGCCGATGAATGATGGATAGAGATCCTGTGATATACTATTCAGCCTTAAAAAAGAAGGAAATCTGGCATTTTGTGATAACATGGATGAACCTGGAGGACATTATCCTAAGTGAAATAAGCCAGACCCAGAAAGACAAATACTGTGTGATCTCAAATGTGGAATCTAAAAACAGTCAAACTCATAGAAGCAGAGAGTAGAATGGTGGTTACCAGGAGCTGGGCCATGAACGGATTGGGAAGATGTTGTTCAAAGGGTACACACTTCCACTTATAAGATGAACAAGTTCTGGGGGTCTAATGTACAACATGACAGCTATGGTTAACAATACTGTATTGTATACTTGAAATTTACTAACAGAGTAGATCTCAAATGTTATCATCACACAAAATGGTAACTACAGCGATTAGTGTGTTAACTGACTTGATTGTGGTAATCATTTCACAATGTATTTGTATACAATTCATCGCATTATGTATCTTACATTCACACAGTTTGTCAGTTATACCTCAATCAAGCTGCAAAGAAATACCATTTCTAAGTTGTGCCCATCACAGCCTGTAGGAGTTAAGATTTCAGCCTGAGTTTCCGTTCCAACACCACTACTTTCTATGTAATACTGAACAAGTTTCCTAACATCTCTAAACTTTAATTTCTTCCTCTATAATGAGAATAAAATCAAGTTGTTTTTTCAAAATCATTGTGAAACCCATTTTTTTTCCAGTTGCGTAGAGGACACTAATCAGTGATTAGGGAAAAATGTAAGATCATCAGTAGAAATGGATTCTCTACTGGAGAAGACACACAGGAGGTATTAGGCCCCTTAAAAGACATGCAGTTGTACTCAGTATTGTTTCTGCCTACATAAAAGTTTCCTGGAGAAAACAATGAGACTCATACAGGAAGTATTGAAAGACAATATTAGATAATTCTTTTATAATCTTAAAATGGGAAAGGCTTTCTAACTATGACTCAAGTTATTTTTTTAAAAGACTGAAAAATTCACCTACATTCCATAAAATCCTGCAACAAACTAGGAAAATATATTTGCAACTGTGTCACAGACAAAGGCCTTATCTCCCTAATGTAAAAGGAGACCCTACATATCAATGCCAAAAAAAAAAAAAAAAGAAAAGAAAAGAAACAGTAATAACCTGATAGAAAAAGGGTCAAATGAGATGCAAAGGTAGTTTTACAGAAAAAAACACGAATGATTCTTAAATATATATATATATATATATATATTTTTTTTTTTTTTACGTGCCCAAGAGAATATTTTTACCCCTCTTTTCCTGTGCCATTTTAGTTGTATGCTCAATTCCAATTCTTTCTGTGATTACTCTTAAAATCTTACCATCTATACCTGCTGGATCAAGTCTAAAGTTGTTATCTCTAGCCTCCACCCAAACAATACAGGAAATTTAATTTTTTTCTTAGATAATATATTCAAATGGCATAAAATTCAAAAGGTGCCAAGGGTAAACAGTGAAATAAGTCCAGCATATCCCTAGTGCAGCCACCTAGTTCCCATGCCCTAAAGCAGCCATCTTTGCCAGTTTCATGCGTGTTCTTCCAGAGATCTTATATGCAAAACAATTATATGATGAATTATTTTGGCTCGATTTCTTTTATAGAAGTGGTAGGGCACTGTACACACTGTTCTTCACTCTCGTTGTTTAACCTAGCAATTGTGAAATCATGTTTGATGTTTGCAATGATTCACTTTCTCCTCCTGTGTAGATGGAGTATATGAGAAATTCATGTTCATTGTTATAACCCACTGAGATTTTGCAGTTGTTAATGCAGAAAATCTAACTCATATAGAAATATATTTATTCTATATCATACTCAAAAATATATTTCATTATTTTTAATCCCTAAACGATATTCCAATATATGGGTGTAATATAATCTATTTAATCCGTTCCCTTCTTGATGAATATTGAGGTTGTTTTTAATTTATGCTGTTTCAAACAATGCTGCAATGAATACTCTTCCCATGCATCATTTCACAGCCCTCTCTCTCTCTCTCTCTCTCTCTCTCTCTCTCTCTCTCTCTCTCTCTCTCTCGGTGTGTGTGTATGTGTGTATCTGTGTGTGCATGCAGGATAATTCAAAAACCCTTCAAAATTATAAAAAAGTTTTTGAGTCAGGGTTTCATTCTGTCACACCGGCTGGAGTGCAATGGCATGATCACAGCTCACTGCAGCCTCTGCCTCCTAAACTCAAGCAATCCTCTCACCTCAGCCCCCCAAGTAGCTGGGACTACACGCACACACCACTACATCTGGCTAATTTTTGTATTTTGTTGCCCAGGCTGGTCTCAAATTCCTGGGCTCAAGTGACCCTTCCACCTTAGCCTCCCAAAGTGCTGGACTACAGGCATGAACCACTGCATCTGGCCTATAATTACAATTTTTGAAGGTTAATGCTTATATAGATTCACCAACCTGTTGACGTTGTTTTAGTCTTGGTCTGAAAATGTCTTTAGTCACCTAATAATAGTTCTGTTAGGTAAAGGACCTAAGTTGATGCTTATTTTCCATGGCATTTTGAAGTAACTATTGGATAACATTCTGGACTTTT